CAACAATTACTTCTGTTTACACTTTTTAACATCCAACAGCAACGATCTCTGTATTTAATTGTTGCAACAATTACCTCTGTTCCCATTACTATAACAATTACCTTGGTCACCAGTGTTGTTGTACAGTGAGCTTTACCAATGTTTCCTGGTTAAGTGATCGCCTAGTTTCTGGGGAAAACGTCATTGCTAGAAGTACAGACGTGTTCTTCGGTCACGCTAGAGAGTGAATATTACCTACAGATGCATTAAATAACTTCATATGAGAATCAGTTATGAAAGTTTCCAACGGCAACCGAAGTTCACACTTTATATCGTCATGCCAATAAAAACGCCTGGCATATTACAGCAGAAAGTGGTCCGACCACTGATCTTCATCACCTTCACGAAATGCACCTTTTGGCCTTCCTCGTCTTAGTGAGGTTTCTGTCGAAAGGAGATTGGCCTCATTCAACACGGAAGAATCAACTCTGTGAGGTTCAGTGGCGATAATCAGATGTTTATCGCGGAGTGGAATGACTGCGATGAGAAACAGTGGTGAAGCTTGGCACTTTGGTTTAGATGATTTTCTGGTTCGATTCCTGAGTACAGAGAGCACAGAACATAAAGTGTTCCGGAGTTTTCCTCAGTCTCTGTAGATGAACAACACCTACAAAATTCCTACCAGCACACTGTACTGGGCCATTGTCCGTGAAATTCGACACTTAAAAACCGTGCAGTTTAAACGGCATTGTCAAATGATCTAATGATAACACAAGGATTGGGATAAAATTCCGTAACCTGTTCCATCGTCTTAATGATTCACGTAATTTATTAATATGATACTAACCAGTATTTAACATTCAGACTGACTATAACTTCTGTATTGTTCCTATATTGACATTCAAGGTAACTGGCAGAAAATTTTATCGTAGAAAAAAAAGTTTGGCCTTGACAATCCGTCACAATTCGAAACATGAATTATTCACAGCGTCTCTGTCAGAAGCATTCTCTGTAACACTGCAAGAGTGGCATAATTGTAAGCCCAAGGCGATGTGTGTTTCTTACCGCACGCAGACTGCTGATGCCTACAAAGCGTGTAATGTAATATTAATTAGTATTCAGATGGGCAATTTATCCCAATTCGTTTCAATTATTTTACAGTGTAACAGTCTAGAAGAAGAGAAATTCGGGTTACGAGATATAAGGTCGTGTTGTGTATAATTAACTATGATTTTAGATTTTATACCGTGCCAATCCCTTTATATTTAGAAGAAATTTAGTTCCAGCGAATTAATTCAATTTCTTCTATACTTTCATTTCCGGAGTACTGCTTATTTTTTTTAAAGTCATTCTACATAGAACCGATACTTAGACAATTGCAGTTGCTATTATTTATAATAGACATCGTTGCTGAATACGAAAACACTTGCAAGAGGATTTAGATTTTAATTTTCAGTGATTACTCAGAGATGAAACTACAACTGCAGCTTTTGTTATATACGAGGTGCGATCGGAAAGTTTCCAGACTGCGCGTATAAAAACCCGTACACTTATCTCAGGTATTAAATTCATCCATCACCCTCGAAGTAGTTCCCCTGGGAGTGAACACAACGATCCCAGCGCCACTGCCAAGCCTGGAAGCATCCCTGGAAATCTTTCTTTGTCAGCCTGTCAAGCACCATCTGCGATTCTGCCTGAATCTCTTCTATCGTCTCAAATCTCCTTCCCTTGAGCTGAATTTTCATCTTTGGGAAGAGGAAGAAGTCACACGGAGCTTACAAAGGAAGTTGGAGTCGGTTCTTGCAAGATCTTTGAGCTCCTGACAAACGAGAAGTCAAGGCGATTCTGCTTCTGGTCCTCAGACAGGAGCCTTGCGTCGCATGTGGAGTTCTTCCTTTAGAATCAGCTGACAGGCCCCATAGCCTATCCCAACAATGTCGCACAAGTCGTTGATGGTACGACGTCGATCTTCGTGAAGGGCCTGCCGAATCTTCGTAACATTTTCGGGCGTTGTGCCCGAAGATGGTCGTCCAGAACGCTCGTCATCATCGACAGAGGTTCAGCCATTTTTAAAACGTGAATGCCACACAAAAGTTTGCGGACTCCCCAAATGCTTGCTTTAGCATTTCACAGGTTTCCGTAGCCGTTTTGGCGAGTCTTTGGCAAAATTTGATGCACACGCCATTCCGAAATCGCAGGAGGGTCGGTGTAATGCACTACCAAAACGCCCGTAACTAAGAAAAAAATGCTAATTCGATGATGCCGGCTGGCACACTGATTCACTATGAATGTAGGTCGCACCCCCTAAAGGCAGAAGCTCTTACTCCATCCGGTTCGCCCTCTATTGACACAGTCTTGAAACTTTCCGATCGCACCTCGTATTTGGACTCTTATGGCACTGATCTTATGTCAGTTTATGATCTCTTGAATCTTTTTTTTTCTATTTTTTTTCTTAATTTATTTGTATGTACCGACAATATGTTACTTTAGTTGAAAGCTAAAATTATATTTATGGTAATTTAAAAATTACCTGATTTTTGGGCCTTAAGATTGAGCATCTCTAACGAAAGATCTCGCTCGTGGATTCCATTTGTTCTTTATAATCAACTCCTAGGCAACGTACTTACTCGACACTGATTTAAAAGTGTACTGTTCCATGTCCATCTCGATCGCTCTAATATCTCGATTTCGGGTTGGAGAGTATATTTGTGAAAGGCTCCGAGCAAATTTGCTGCCCTTTACAGCACACTGACAGGGTAGATGTTCTAGTTCGTGGTAGAATAAGACGATTACAATATAATTATGAACAATTTCATTCACAGGAAATTATTTATTTTCCCATTTTGTGAAAGTAAGAGCTGGAAAGCAGGGTTGGGTTGGTATTATAGCTCTGACGTTTATAATAGCTCGAAAATTATAAAATAATAGTTAGGGTCGTGCAGTCAAAAGTGATGGTCAGATTTAGTGGAATAGGTTCCTGTGGCTTGTTACGATTACGTATAATTCGTAGAGCCATACAGAAATAAACCTTGCTTTAGAAATACTATACTGGACATTGTCTTTCTGGACCATAAAAATCTAAAAACTTCACATCTACTGTTTAACTATTTTTCATAATCGCTTCCTGAAATTAATTCCTGTATTGTGGTCTTTTCTCCTACAGATCGTAGTACGTTATTAGCCTGTACTCACTCCCGGGTTCGGAACCCCGATAGACAACACCTACTTCTTCACCGCCGTGAGAACTTCAAATTTCACATGTTATTAGTCCATATTAACAGATTTTTATACACAATGAGGTATGCAAAAGCTCATAAGATATTACTTACACACCTTGCGTTCTCTCGTAATTATTTACAGTAGCCGTTGAATCAGGAACGTCAAGTCAGTGTTTCTGTGAGGAACTTCAGCCAATTAAGCTCAGACGAAAGGTCCAATAGCAGCGCCGTGAGTGCTTTATAGTACTGACGAAATTAATCGTAATTATATGACTTACACCTCTCATAACTAACTAACTAACTAGATGGCTTACCGAACCCGAAGGTTCATCACCAAATTAACCAAAGCCCTCCACCGGACCCTGTCCTGGGCCAACAAAATCCAGTCTCCTCCAACTCCTATCTCCCATAGATCCCGCCTGAGATTATCCTCCCAGCTACGTCTAGGTCTCCCCAGAGGCCTCTTCCCCTCAGGCTTCCCAACCAGTACCCGGTGCACACCTCTTGTCCCATCCATGCGCGCTACATGTCCCGCCCATCTCATTCTTCTCGACTTAATCACCCTGACAATATTGGGGGAGCAGTACAGATTTTTAAGCTCATCATTATGCAGTTTTCTCCACGCCCCATCGTCTTCCCTCTTAGGCCCAAATATCCTCCTCAACACCCTGTTCTCAAACACCTGCAATCTGTGTTCCTCCCTCTGAGTGAGAGACCATGTTTCGTACCCATACAAAACAACAGGCAGAATTATTGTTTTGTATACTTTAATTTCCAGGTTCTTAGAAATCAGACGGGAAGACAAAATATTTTGAACCGAGAAGTAGCAAGCATTTCCGGAATTTAGTCTCCTCCTAACTTCCTCATGAGTGTCATTTTGATTTGTTATTGTTGTTCCCAGATATTTGAACTTTTTAACACTTTCAAAGGACTTATTAGCTACCCTAAGATAATTTTGCCCGCCTGTCTTCTGACGACGAGATACTAACATGTACTTAGTTTTTTCTGAATTTACTTCTAGCCCCACCCGTCTACTAGCCTCTAGTAAACTTTTCTGCATTCCTCTTTATTGTATTCATATCGTCCCCCAATAAATTAACATCATCAGCATACGCCAATAGCTGATGTTTACACCTCTCATAAAGTTAACTTTATTAATATTTTCAACAAATATAAAAACAGTTTAAATAAAAGCTTAAATTCGATACCTGCTCTATTTTAGGTTATGATCACATCGTACTTAGTTGCACTAGTGCGTCAGTCAAATTAAGACGAACAGAAAAATGTCGGTCACAAAATACTAATATATCATAAAGGCTAATATATAAAACAAAGTAATTGGACAAAATGGCGTATTTATTCATTTATGTGACGTTCAGATTATATTGGATACTGAAAAGGACTGGTGATAACATATTTAAATCTACTGATAACAACTCTTAATACTTTTATCAGTTAACAGATATTTGTTCGTTTCAGAATAATAATAATAATGGACTTACTGCGTGTTACAAATATCGAAATCTAAATTTCTGTGCGTGCATTGTCATCGCCATTTACGTTCAGGTATCCAAATCAACTGAAACCTTTTGTTTATCAGTAGCTGATAGAGCTAAGTATTTGATTACAGTAAATAAACACAGATGTGTTCAAAGTATAAAATAAAATATAAGCTTACCTTACAGTTGTTAACACCTGTAAGAAACCGAACGAAATTTTCAAATGCCAATATCGTCTGGAAACGAAAACACTGATTGTTATGAAACACCGAGCAATGAAACGTCACTTTTGCTGGCTGTCCATAGCAACACTGGTCTAAAACAAGAGTGAAACGTTGTTTTTGTGTGCTGGCTTGCAAAAACTTCTACAAGGCTGCCGGAGCGGTCACATGCGAGTGGTTAGGTGGTAGGAGAGTTGAATGGTCGGCGGAGAACTTGCCTTGCAACACTCCAGACAGACAGCACCTCACTTAGCTTACGTCGTTTCTGGCCTAATTCGGCCCTTTCAAGCAAATTCGGTAATTTTATGCATTTCTTTCCTCCACCAAGTACATTCATGGGTTTCGTGTCGTTCACAGAATAAACCGATATTTCTCTAAACGGCAGTATAGAAAAGCTTAGAAAGGGTTAAAGAAACTAACGCTTTCGTTTTGTTTTTCCGTTGATTCTCAAGAAATTAGGCCCTAAATCCTGAGTAAGAATACACTCTGGAAAAGTTACTTATTGAGTCTAAAAATTACAGAGGCTTCATAGATTAAACTTAATGGTCGTAATATTGAAAGAAACCATTGTTAAGAAATGGTTTCATTCAATTAAAACGTATATATATTCCACGGTAGTCTAGCGGTTAGAACGCTGGCCTTATAATCCTGGGGTCTCGGGTTCGATTCCCGGCGGTGCCCGAATTTATAACTTGTGTTGGGCAAGGCCGTGGTCTAGGCAACACGGAGTTTTCCTCCGGGGGCTTCCCTGGTTTCTCCGTGGCATCCCAACAATTACTCCATTCACACACAGAAGAAGGCAATGGCAAACCACTTCTGTATCACCTGCCTAAAAAACATAGTCCCAGTCCGAGAAAATGATGGAAGGATCCTGTTCATATGGACCTGTCGTCAGTTTATTTTTCTAAAGCAACTAAAAAAAACGTATATATCTGCAGGCCACATGCCAACAGTGCATCGTACAGTTTTTGGTATATACGTTTCGTATCAAAGTTAGCGACACATTTTAATTTTTAAATAGTTTATTTTTCTAAAGCAAACTTTGTGTTCTTTCGTTCGCATTGTCGCTTTGCGGAGTAAAAATCCACATGAGGATTTTCCCTAATGCGCAGGCGCATTGTACAGGCGATTACAAATAAAGCTGGTGGTATTACGTCATCGTTTGTAACACCCATATTTGTAATTGTTTTAAAAGTGAAATATTTTAAATCAGAAGTGACGAGCAGACCTACCGAGTGTTGACGAAAAAGATTGTTAAGTGTTTGTTTAAGATTGTTAATCTCCAAATTTTGCTTTCAACAAGAACAAAGTGAGAATTGAGTTACGTTATTAATACATTCCGTTCACTGGGAATGAATCACTGTGCTACGTTCATCGCTGCATATATGTCAGCTGTTTTTCTTCTCCTGAAAGGTCACGTTTAGTGACTTAACCCTTCTGTCCATCACACCACAGACTTGAGAGTTTCCTCCTGCAACTTCAAAATGAAAGTGACTATTCGTGACCTGCTAAAATACAGTGTCAGATTTCACAAAAATTGTGAGAAATTTATTAATGTTCTACGTGCTGAATATTTTAATTAACTGTTATTTATTAAACCTCTCATACTTAACTCAGTACTTAAACTTCTAAGGCCCTCAGTGATGTTCTTGTTCTAAATCTGGTCTACGCTTTAGCAAGGTGAACGAACACTTCTTGAAGTAAAGAACGATGCAAGTATCAACTAGAATTGGTTGACGTATTATTCAAATTCGTTCTTTAAGAATCGTCATACTTCATTAACCTCGACGTTCATATACTGTGGATAAAATTGCATCTGTAATTCTAAACATAATCACACTACAAACAGGTGTTACAGTAAACAGATTACGAAAACATAGGCCTATATAAATTTGCGACGTAAGACCTGCAATTTATATTTACAAAAGAAACTGGCATATCGAGGTTAATTGCTTGACTTTCGTACAAGTTTCACTGTCGAAACTAATAAAATTTGTTATGGTGTTGCTCAGTATAGACGGAAATTGACAAAAACGCAGTCATACCTAATATGCATACACTGACTTTATTTACGACTAAATACAATTATATTAATTATAGAAATAGGTCTTTTTATCAACCCCATGGAGCATAGGTCTTCCTGCGAAGCTGATAGTAGCTCAGCTGGTCAATAAATGTCCAGCCCTTTATGGAATAGAGGATTCGTTATTGTCTTCGTTACTGGGCCCTAATATGAGCTCAAAGTTGGTTTCAATACCCCCCTTCTACGTGTGTGTCTCACAAGTAGTCTTTTTTTTCCTTTCAGATGTTCTGCTCAAAATTTTGTATACGTTTTTCTTCTGTGCCCGGTTGTGATACATGTCCCACCCATCACATTCCTTTGATGTTAATCGTGCCCCCCCTCCCCCGTCGTAGTCCTTGTGTTTTGTTAAATGTATGTTATACTGAAATATGTTTCAGATAAAAAGTTTCTTGTCTTACCTGCCATGCTCTTTGATAATGAACAGTATTTTAGTAAATGCAAATTTGCGTTCAGAACAAATTTAGGTTACACATACCAGACTCCGAAACACTGGACTGTAAATCCACACTTGTGAGGCCGATCGCCCGAAAATAGTTTGTTACATCCAGCCGCCGTGAAAACTTCAAACCTTACGCACACCAAAATTACATTCGCCCATAAACTTTTAATGTTGATACCCAATACTTAGTGCGTTGATTGGTTTTGTAACTAAAGCACTTGTACTCTCATACAATTTTTGGTTATTTTCTCATTAATGAGCATCAGTTAACATTAGTAAACATAGAGAGTTTCCCAAAAATTTGTATACACATTCAATGAATGAAAGAAATTTACATAAATAAACTAAACCATTACATACGTCGGCATTGATACGTAGTGAATTAGCGAATATAGTGTCGGTGTTCAAAATGACCACCGTCAGCTTCGGGGCACGTCAGTTAGCAACTGATTAACAAGCAGCAACCGTATTATAATGTGTAGGGGATACCAAGGCAGAAAGAGGAACTTAATCTTTCGAGGCATGTGGAAGGGATAATAATAAAGATAAACACATGGAGGAACCGTGGGCCCATTTCAAGCAAGACGAATACAGGACCCACCCTTCAATAGACTGCGAATAGACATCGTCACAATACAGGCACTTGTCATTTTATCCTCTTCTCTGGGTACCCCATTCTGCCCCGAGTATACTCTTTCAAATTAGGATTGTCCCAACTAAAATGACATCATGAAAATAAATAAAAATATTGTGTTTAAGACTTTCAATAAAACACCTTGTAACATGCATCATTCAAATAAGTTGATATGAATAATGAATAGGTCTTACCTTCACTAGAAATTGAGAAAAATTTGTAAAATGTAGGAGCAAAATCCATCATGCGTGATTATTTCAGAAACTGTAACCACAAAATGGCGCTGACTGACATGACATGACCCTGTGCTGTATGCTAATGGTATTTCACCCGGTCCCAATAGATCGCATCGCATTGCAGATGAAATAAAGCCGATACCCTGTTCTGCCCCGTGGCCCCGTTCTGGCCTGGTCACCCCTATACACCTTTTTTTTGGACAGTCTTTATATTCAGGTGAGAGTCTATGTTATTGGCCTAACTAGGTGTTAACGCTGAAGAGTCATTCGTACAAAGAATTTTTTATAAAAATAAATTCTTCACCCTTGTCTCCACTTAAGAATATCTTCATCCATAAAATTATATGGACGTCTGTAATGACCAATCTAGCATCCTCGAGAAATCGTTTCTTGCAATTTGTTCCGCAAAACCATTATTACAGATGCACATTTCCTGCCGAATCGTTGAAAGGGGAAAGTCAGTTTACAGAAGACTGGGAAATGATGTTCAGTCCGCATTATCGTAGTTTTTAAGTTTGTTTCTTGTTAAATTGCCCACTTCTTTTGAACTGCGTATGTTATGTAATTCCAGTTAGTAGTGAAATTTGAATTAGAATTGATGTGGGAAGAAAATATTGAGGTTATTTTAAGGTTATGTTTTATTATTTGCGGAAGGGACTGAATAAAACCATGAAAAACCTGTTAGAACATCCTGCCTTTGGACTTGGGATAAATCTTTGTATCTCCTGAATACGATACACTTTGATTTATTCCTTTTGTATTCATGTTATTATTAAATACATATAATTGCTTGCTATAGTTTAAACTTTTATTTATCTTACATTTCGGAACTGTTGATATTATTATTCCAAATTTTATAATCGATTCTGTCAAACACACTCATCTGCTCGAACGTGACGAGTGAAAAGTCTTTGATTTTTTACTTAATATTTTACCCTGTGTTTTATTTTAATTCTCCACAGATGTGGATTAGTAAATTCGTAACTGACGTGGTTATGGGGCCTTTGTTAACGGGACGGTCACGTGATTGAACGTTGAGATGGATCAAAAACATAGAACGAAACAGTTCGCCTGTTTGTATTCATGAATGTGTAAGTTATTCGTCGCTGTGATTCATTTCGACAGCTTTGCCACGTGTAAAATTCTACGCGTTGCCGATAGTAGTGACTTGTCTGGTAACTTTGTGAGTCATTGCTAACATGCTGTCCATGACGGCGTCTCTTGTAGAGCAAACCTCTGGCGAGTAGATATTGTGTCTGACTGGTGAATTGGGACAACACTTTATCCCTGTTACTGTGTTTGTTATTTAAGCGGTTTAATTAAAACTCTGATTTGTGAAGTCGGTAAGTCTCAGACATTCTTTTCCTGGACGATTTGAAATTATGTCGTAATTATTTTCTTGTCACAGGCTGCAATATAA